AAATGGTATCATTTTTTCCATATCATTCTTCTCTTTGTTTTTGATATTTAAAAATATTACTGAATGTTTCATATTCACCATATCTAGTCACCTTGCCAAATTTACTTGTTAATTCTAATAATTTATCTATCAATTCATTTATATGTTCTACATATACGTTACTTTGTCTGCAAAATGCTTATAACTTCATTTTTCTTTTCAGGCACCTGTGGCTCAGTGAGGAGGGCACTGGCCCCATATACCAAGGGTGGTGGGTTCAAACCCAGCCCCAGCCAAACTGCAACATTTTTTCTTTTCAATCCTTATACATAGTATCTTTCATTTGTTTTTCTCACCTTATTGAGTTGGCCAGAAGCTTTAGTGCCATGGGAGCAGAAGTGGTCATAGCAGGCAACTTTGTCTTGTTCCTAATTGAAGAAGGGAGGTTTCAGTATACATGTTCTTTAGAATTTGTTCTCTAATAGTAGAATTGATCCTGAAAAGCAAGGCCAATATGTGCCCATCTAGCAGCCATTCCTTTGTTTGTCAGGTTTATGGTGAGAATGAAATGGAATTAAATGCAAAATGCCCAGAATAGGGCTGGCCATGTAGTGGAGAGGTACTTGCCAAATTATCCTTAAGTAGTTCTTTTTTGTACATTTTGGATGGTTTTCAAGCTTGAGTTCAAGCTCCATACCCTTTGCTGACTTAGAAAAGGGTATTCCAGCTAACAGGAGCCTTGCTTTAAGGCAAGTCCTTTTACCCCTGTATTTTGGAGCAGCTGCTATAGAATTTACCTTGGCAGTGTATCCCCAACTGTTACTAGGGCTTACCTGAATCATCTCTTGCCAGGTGCAGGGGGATGTGCCTGTGGAAGCAGTGGGACACACCTGCAGATACAGTGGGATGTGCCTATAGTTCCAGGTACTCGGGAGGCTCAGGTCAGAGGCCAGGAGTTCATAATGCATTATGATGATGGCACCTGCGACCAATCATTGTACTCCAGCCTGGGCAATGTACAAGTCTCTGGCTCTAAGTTCAGTTTTAAATAAAATAAACAATTTCCCCAATTTCAGTAAAATTTTCCTGGCACGAGAACATTTCCTTGAAAATATTTTCAAGTTGTATATATTATTTCAAACCATCAAAGTTGAGGGAGAGAAGAGAAAACAGGATCAGGTGGTAAAACCCTCAGGTTGAATTTGTTAAAGCAACTTGGTGATGTTCAGGAAGAAAGCTTTCTCTCCAGCGCTATTACAAAGCCAAAACAGCGCCTGTGGCAGGAGCTCTGATGACTGTTACCAGCTGCTGCCCGAGTGCCAGTGCCTTCTGTGAGGCACACAGAGCCCTCTGCCTTCTACCAGTGTGGGGGGTATCAGGCACTGCCTTCCCATGGTGAGTCACCTGGACTGGAACCTCCCAGCCAGGTGCCAGCCCCTCTGCTGCTCCCCCCAGAAGTGTCTGTTCTGGGAAATGCTTGCCCTGCAGAGCCGGTACTCAGCTCCGTTAGGGTTCCTCTGAGGTAGGAGCCTCCAGGGCTATAAAGCTCAGCACTCCTTTCTTTAACACTTCCACTGTGAGAGGACCTTGAAACTTGTCACAGTCCCTGTCACAGTGGTACCCTCTGCACTTTCTTCTCCTTTCCAGTCCCACAGTCAAAGACAAACATCCACTGCAAGTTAGGGCCGTCTGCTCTGTGGGGTTGCTTCAGGTTCTTTCCTGGTTGTGTTCAATAGGGCCTGGGGCTCTGTGCATTAGTTAATGTTTGCGAGCAAGGCCAGTCCCCCATGTGTTCTTGGGACAGGACAGGCCCACTCAGGTGTCTGAGTGTTACTTGGAGTCCATCAAGTGTGGCAGTTCTCCAAGACCCTTCCTCATTCCTGTGCCAGGTTTTTCTGCTTCTCCCCCAGAGAGCAGGTCAGCGTTCAGGGGGACCTGCATTGGCCAACTTTCTTTCTAGAAACAGATGTTTATGTGGAGAATAGAAATGCAAACTAAATAGAAAACGTAGGGTCTCCATGAAGCTTTCTAGTAGTCTGAGTGCTTCCTTTTCTACCTGCAAGGAATCGCTGAAGACGGTTGGGGCTCTGGGGGCAGGGAGTGCCCTGGCAAGAGCTCCTTATCTGGCTGCTGTCTTCCAGACCCTTCTAGACAGCTTTTACAAATACAGATTCCTAGGTGTGCCTCATACCTGCCAAATCAAACTTATGATCACACCAGCATTGGAAAATTTCCATTGATCCTTGAAGAACAACATGTCTAGGGGTGGTGCCACATTATTCTTTGACAGCTTCTGGGGTCACCTTTTTGAGTGCTGCTTTCACATGCCCACCTCTATCACCCTCTACCCCCCATTTGGGAGAACATTTCTGTTCAGACATGATGAAGATTTGTCCTGGTTCTGCCCAGCCCTGAGTGACTGCAGACCCTCCTGAACCCAGCCTCCCTTGGGCTGGGTGCTGGGGGGTCCTATCTCCCACAGCTTCATCTTAGGACCAGACCAAGTCACAAAGCCATGCAAGAGTAACAGGTTTTTAAAACTTCTGTGAAAAGTATAAGGAATCAGTTACATTTACCTGACACCTGGGTCCCTGCCTCCCAGAGTTGGCAGATAAAGATTTTCATCATATTTGCTTAGAGCTTTAAAAAATAAAATAAGTAAAACATGATATAAATTTATTATAAATTATGTATTCTATCATGTATAGTAGCCTATGTTAAATCATTTGAAGTCCTTTTTTCTGCCATCCCCAGACTGTTTCTTAACTGCCTTTGAAACAGGCATACAGCGAATTTACTGCTTTTTTGTTTCAAAAAAGAAGCTTTACATACACCTATATTCATAACATGAGCAAGAGATAGTAGTGTTTCAGGTGTTTGTTTAAAAACTGTAACCCAGTGGTATCATCCTGCGTGTGTTCTGCCGTTGCTTTTCCCATTTGTGGCTATGCACACAGCTGGCTCCGGCTTTATCCCTCAGAGTGTCCTGCGAATGGGCAGCTTTCTGGGAGGGCATCACCTTTTTTCAGATAGGGGCAATATTTTGCTGATGTGGGCAGTGCTGTAGTGGCTGTCCTGGGATAGGGTGTGCACACGTGTGCATGGGTGGGAGGGTTGTGCTTGCTGTCCTATACTGGGGCACATGTAGCGGGGCACAGAGGAGCAGGGCCATGGTCAGGTTGCTGTCCACACTGGATGCGCCAGTCATGCTAGTGCTGATGGTGGGTGCTGTTCTCACCCGTCACTTGCACTCAAAAGGTGGCTGTACTGTGCTTTGGTGCGTGACAACTGCTCTGCCCAGAGCAGAGGTCTCACCTCTGAGTCCCAACCATAGGCTGGCAGCCCTAGCCTTTCTGCATTTGCATGAAGACCACCTGGGACTAAGGAAGGAGACCCTGGAGTGGGTCCCACATGTCAGCATTTCTCTTGATATGCAGAGTCTGCCCTGGGAGGGGAGTGCAGGACCCTGTTCAGAGGAGCAGGATCTGCTCAGTGGTACAGCCCCTTGGGACACTGGGCTGGGCTCTTGGGGAGCCCCTGGGAATTTATAAGGGAAGGCCATCTTCCCTAGCTGGCTGCTGCCTGTAGCCCTGGGACTGCCAAGGACCATTCTAAGGTGCATCCTCTGCTGCAACCTGGTCCTGGTTTTGGGAAAAACCTGGGGACTGGAACATTATTTTGGACTGGGTATTTCTTTTTTCAGATCTGGCCCTGTGGCTGCGCAGGAGGCCAAGCCATAGGGCCTGCCGTTCTTGGGAGAGAGTGGCTACATGGCCGGCAAGGGGTGGCCAGGCCCCACCTGCTGGGCATGCCAAGCTAGTTGGGGTACTGGGCGCAGAGCGCAGAGCAGTCTGGCAGAGCACAGCGCCGGCACTGCAGTTGGTGGCCTCCCCCACCACCCGGCCCCCCACGGGTTGCAGATGCGCAGCTGCCTCAGGAAGGAGCGGGAAGAAGGGCTCCGCCTGCCCTGCCTGGCCCCATCCCCTGGCTTTTGTCTGGTTTTGTTTGGAATGGCTGGAGGAGACGCTGCCTTTGACCGGGATGGATCTTAACCTGAAGGCGGTGCAGAGGGACTCAGCAGAGGGCTTGGAAGAGAAAGCACCAGGCTCAGCTGGGACAGGGACAGCGGCTTTCACACCACAGCCTGTCAGCTTGCCCTGCAGCATGTTTAGAGAGCGATTCCTGAATTTATGTGTAGGAGATTTTTAAGTCTTTACGTGTTTGTTATTTCTGGGCTCTGTATGTGTGTGTATACTTGGGTGTGCATATGCATGTTTTATGTATGTGTGTTTACGTGCTTGGGGCATGTGAGTGCATGTGTTTATGTGTGCACACGTGCGTGTGCATGTGTTTGTGTACACATGTGAGCATGCCTGTGTGTGTACATAGAAATGTACATGTGTTTATGTGTGTGTGCATGGGATGTGGGTGTTTGTAAGTGTGCCTGCTTGGGCCTGGGGGTATTGGAGGTAGAAGCAGCCCAGTGGCAGCCCAGTGGGCTGGGATGACGTGGCAAGGTGACTACTTCCACCTTATAAAGTGGGGGTGGATGATGACCGGCCCATCTACCTTGTCTGATCAGAGCACCCTGTAGGGGAGTTTCTCCTGATGCACAGGTGGATAGGGCAGAGTTGTGGGGGTGGCTGCTGACCCTGCAATAGGCCAGTGCTACAATGGGGAAAAGCATTTGGGGTTTGACCCCTGATACTGGCTGGCATACACTGAGGTGTGTGTCCTGAGGCCCCTGCATGGCAGGCGTAGTGCCCTGAGCATTGGGATTGGACAGCAGCTGCCTACTCTGTGACTGCTACTCTTCTGGGGGTGCCACAGTGCTGCCTGGCATTTTGAGGTGCATGGCTGATGGGTATAGCTCTTGGGTCTCCTCCAGACCTACTTGGACAGAGCAGTGACAGGTGTTAGGTGTAGCTTAGTGAGGTTTGACCTTAGGAGTTCCTGGGACCCTCTCTCCACTGGGTGCCATTAGTACTTCTGCCTGTTCACCCCTCTTGCTTCTGTTTCAGGAATAAATGCCCAAGCCCGGAGGCTGCAGCGGAGTCGTGCCAAGGGAACCCGGGCCCTGGGCCCAGAAGGTGCCCAGAGCTCCTTTCCATCCCGGCTTCGCCGCACAGTCAGTGAGACCAGCCTGAGCTCAGCCACCACCCTGCCCGACGCCGCCCCGGGCCCCGAGGAGCTCAGTCAGGACACCATGCGCTTCTCACTATACCAGTCCCCACACCTGCTCCTCCTGCAGGGTTACAGCCAGCAGCACGTGAGCTTCCCTCCTACACCTGGTGCTGCCCAGTAGATGCCTTGTGGGGGCGAGGGGCACCTGGCCTTTAGCCAGTTAGCTCGTGTGGCTACTGCCCTAGTGGCTATGACGAGGCTGTGGAGATCAGGAGTGGAGCACGTGCTGGCTTTTCCCTTCATCCGGGCCCTTTACAGGGAACTCTCTACCACTCAGAGATCCTTGTTAATCTGGGTAGACATGGGAAAGAGAAACCATTTGACTTTCTAGACTGCTTCTCAGGCCCCTTCCTTTGGGGCAGGATGTGGGCAGGTAACTAGAGAAGGTGACCAGGGCCAGTCTGCTCTTGTGCAGGTGGTAATGGGTGCCAAGTCATCGCTTGGTGACTGCCTTCTCTGAGGAGGCTCAGAGAAAAGGCCACAACTGCCCCAACTGCCCCAACTGCCCCACGGCCATTTCTCACTAGTTAGGTCTGAGCATCTCACCAGGAGGGAGCCCTGAGCAAACTCGCTCCTCCTGCCTTGAGCTCTCCCAACTCCATTTCCATGAACACTCATGTGTTAGCTTCCTGCATTCAGGTCTTAGGAGACACCTTCCTCACTGTGCTAGGCAGAAGGGGAGCAGCGCTCATACATGGTGTTGTGGGGGTGACCTGGGGAGCTGGGCAGCTCTTGCTCTGGCTGTAGAGCCAGCCAGCACTTGGCCTCTGCCATCACAAAGCTGGTGACTCCTGGGAGACTCCTCTAGGAAGCTCCCTTGCCCAGGATAGGCTTAGTGGCAAGGGGCAGGTTACCAAGGGTTATAGGAAGCTTTGGTATAGGGGTGGCTCAGGACCTGCAAAGTCCCCAGGAACAGCAGTCCTAGCCACATGGCTTAAGTAACCAGTAACCAGAGACTTGGAAGCCTCTTCTGCTTTTTCCCTTTGCTTGCTTTGCCTGAGGTGCTGTCCTGCCCCTGAGTTGTGTGTCTGTGTTTCAGGACAGCCTGGTGTACGTGCTCAACCGGGACCGGCACACGGTGGGCCAGCGGACCCCTGCTAGCAAGCCCAGCATCAGCCTTTCGGCCCCTGACATCCTGCCCCTGCACTGCACCATCCGCCGGCTCCAGCTAGCGGGCAGCCAGGCGGGGGACAGGCTGGTCCTGGAGCCCATCCCTGGGGCACCCGTCTCGGTCAATTTCTCAGAGGTGGGGCTGAGGACAGTGGTGCTGCGCCACGGGGACCTGCTCTCTCTGGGCCTCTACTACCTGCTGCTGTTCAAGGACCCAGCGCAGGCCCAGCCCCTGCCCACCCATGCCCTGGCCTGCCTGCAGGCTGTGCCACAGAGTTGTCGCATGTGTGGTGCCGTGCTCAGCACCTGGGGCACTGCCCACTCTGCGCCGGCCACCCTGTCCCGGCGACGGCAGCTGGTACTGGAGTTTGAGCCTGACCTGGAGGACACGCTACTGCAGAGGATCATGACACTGATCGAGCCAGGAGGTGACGACCATAAGCTCACCCCTGCCTTCCTCCTCTGCCTCTGCATCCAGCACTCAGCCACCCACTTCGAGCCTGGCACATTTGGGCAGCTCCTGCTCAAGATAGCCAAGAGGATCCGCGAGACAGTCTGGGTCAGTGGCCCTAGATGCACGGTTTATAGTGTTCTTGCTGAGGGAGGGGCTGGGCTTGAGCTCTACGTGACCCCAGGTGGAAGGCATGAGTTCCTCTCTGCCGTCTAAATAGTGCTTCAAGGCTGAGCAAAGGCTGGGCTTTGCCTGTGATGCCTACCACCCCACAGGGAACCAAAATAGCCCTAGACTCCAGGGCTTTAGCTGCAGCACTGTTGGCTGGTGTGGGACCAGCAGTCACTTCCTGAGTTCCAGGGCCTGGCCTAGGGCACCATGTGTGCAGAAGTGAGCTGCTGCAGAATCTTAAGTGCTGTGAGGCTGAGATGACAGCAGGAGCACTCACAGGCCCCTGCCAGGAGCCCTAGGAGCCTCTGACTGAGTACCCTCAGTGTTCTTCTGGGGGCAGGTAGAGTGCTGCCTGCCTGTGCTGTCCCTACCACAAACTCTTTGTCCTATTGGTAGTGGAAATACAGGCCAGTCAGCTCTTCACATTGGCAAACCTCAGCCCTAGGGACCCTGTGGGTAGAATTCCCTGCTGTGGGGCCGTCTTATGCATTGTGGGGTATTAAACAGTATCCCTGGCTCCATCCCCTATATGCTGGTAACCCAACCCCCAACACACAGATGGCTCCAGTCACAAAGGAGGCCCAAGCAGTCTCCAGTGAGTAGTACTCCCAGGTGCTTCCCATAGTTGGCACCTCCCTGCCAGGCCCCTGACCCCCAGGGACTCAACTCCTGGGGGCCCAAAGGGAGGTTTGTAGTTCCTCCAAGTTGCTCAGAGACCCTTATTAATCTGGGTAGACATGGGAAGGAGAAACCATTTGGCTTTGTAGAAACCTGATTCATCTCTTATATTAAAATCCATTAGTCTTCTCTGTGTCAGGCACTCACTAGTAAACAAAAAGATGTTTGAATTCTCACAACCACCCTGATGGGTTAGATGCTGTATATCTCCTGTCACAGCTGAGGAAACCCAGTCCTTGCTGAGGGAGCACGGTGTTGGATAGAAGACCAGGTTCCATCTGTGTCCAAGCCTCTGCTGCCCAGGGCTCCTGCTACTCCCTGCAGCTCACCTGGGCCAGGCCTGCCCCTAACTTGCAGGCTCGCACACAGAGGCACTACATGTGAACTACCTCATCCACAGTCTGGAGCCCCCAAACATCAGTCCAAGTCTGATTCCACTCTGTCCCAGCACCCCGCTGTGAGAATCATAACACTCACCGCTGCCCCATCTAGATCCCCTGCAAATTCCATTTGCTCACGTATCTCCTGGGCCCAAACAGGTTTTCGTGGCCACTCCCCCTCCTCATTGCTTATCAGATGCACAGGCAGGTGTGCACATCTTACAGGAGACGAGTTAGCAGTTAGGGTTATATTTAGCCAGATAATTTATTACTAAAGCAAGACTATTTCTTGATTAAAAGTGATGGCTGTGGGCTTGGCGCCTGTAGTTTAAGCAGCTAAGGTGCCAGCCACATACGCCAGAGCTTGTGGGTTCGAATCTAGCCCAGGCCTGCTAAACAACGACAACTATAACCAAAAATAGCTGGGCATTGTGGCAGGCACCTGTAGTCCTAGCTACTTAGGAGGCTGAGGCAAGAGAATCGCTTAAGCCCAAGAGCTGGAGGTTGCTATGAGCTGTGACACCATGGCACTCTACCCAGGGCAACAGCTTGAAGCTCTGTTTTAGGAAAAAAAAAAAGCGATGGCTGTGGGCCAGTGCCCATAGCTCATTGGTGAGGGCACGGGCCACATGTACTGGGGCTGGTGGGTTCAATCCCAGTCCGGGCCTGCTAAACAACAATGACAACAACAACAACATAATAGCTGGGCGTTGTGGTGGGCACCTGTAGTCTCAGCAATGTGGTAGGCTGAGGCAAGAGAGTTGCTTAAGCCTAAGAGTTTGAGGTTGCTGTGAGTTGTAATGCCACAGCACTCTACTAAGTGTGAAATAGTGAGACTCTGTCTCAAAAAAAAAAAAAAGTGATGACTGCACAGAAAATGTTAGTTCAACCTGATTCCCTGTTGGGAAGTTTAAATATGTTTATAAATATTCAAGCATGTATGCCTCTATTTATTATTACTGTGGATGGCATTTTAAAATGTCTTTATTAAGGTTAAGAATGAGAGTATTAGAATCTTCACTCTAATATTTGTTAAATGTTTGGCCTATTTTTACTATTTTTTAATGGTCAGTTATGTAAGCTAGAGAAGGCTGTGGAATATCTCTATTGTAGGAAACACGTAGGTCATATTCAGTAATGGAATGGGAAGATACCTAAGTCAAATGGAAAATGTTCTTTCCAACACGGCTCAGAGTATGTCATCAGCACAGCACAGGATGTCTGGGACAACAGTGGCATGTTACATGTAGATGGTATAATGTGTGTTTGAATCTGTCCCTGTGTTATCCTATTTTTCTCATATTTGCTTTCTTTTCTTTCTTATTGTAGGAGAAAACCAAAGAATTAGCAGAGAAGCAGGCACAATTGTAAGTATGGCCTAGTTCTTGCACCTGCCTCCTGGCAGCAGGTCCCCCAGGGGTTGCCCTTCCCAGAGCTAAGTCCCCAGTGGCCTCCTGATGCCTTGAGGTCAGCTCTGGGCTTTTGTCAATTGTCTTTCCATCTCAGAGTGACTTTTCTTGAATCAGCACCCTGGGGGGTGGGGGGGTCTGAGTTTGGCAAGTCTCTCCAGAGCACCCTTGAGGCTGAGCGGCAGAGATCCTCTCCCCTCCCTGCTACTGATGTCATGTTAGAACCACCCTGCCCTTGCTGGGAGACATGTACCCAGTGCAGAGGCAGGCAGTGCGCTGCCACTCTCCTAGGTCTTGTATTCCGTGAAGGCACCATCTCTGCCCTCAATGCTGCTGGGGGATGGGGAAAATTATTTGGATCCGCCTGAGACAGACATGTGGGCTTGAGGCCCATACTCCCACTCTTGAGTGGGCCCCTACAGAGACGTCTGCATGGGGAACATTGTCAGCACCCCTTTGTAAGCATAGGAATGGGAAGCCATCATGTCTCAGGACTGAGGGCAGTGTAAACAGTGGACACTGCAGCAGTGGCAGCAAATGACCTTCAGCTGTGGGCTGTTTCAGTGTAATCTAAGACAATGCTAAAAAGAAGCACTCAGAAAAGCACCTGTGATGTGATTAAGCACACACACGTGTGACATTCCCAACTAAGCCACCCTGTTTAAGATACACACATGTGTGACAACACTCTAAAGAGAGCAGAGTTGAAGGTGGAGGTTGTGATGGGCCATAGGGGAGGGGACGGGGACAATGTCTGGGGGCATGGCTCCAGCGTCACAGCCTCCCCCAGTCAGGCCACAGTACGTGGAGGCCAGCTTCCTTTCAGTTCATATATCACCTGCTCCAAACGGTCCACTTATAAAGCATATTGTTGCTGTGTACACGTGCTTACCTATGTCTGAGTGTCCTATAAAGGAAAGAGGCAACATTGTCACCATCCCTTCCAAGGTAGCAGTGGCAGGGCTTGGGATTCTGGCCTAGGGCTCCCCAGCAGGTTGTCTTCACTGCCTGACCCAGGGGAGCTAAGCTCAGGATACCTTTCACTCACAAAGACCTGCTCCTGGAATAAGGGCCCAAAGACTGTGCGCTGAGTCATGGGCCTCTGAGGGCTGGGGCTGTGGGGAGGACCCAGGCTTCACCTTCCAGCTTGACAGGAGGAAGTCCTAGAAGCCAGGCCCTGGAAGGATTGATGGCAAGAAGGTGGCTGGGGCATAGGCACTTGGTGGTGCCCTGTGTCTTGTGGGCTCTCTGTGCTGAAGGATGATTGGCTGGGAGTTGGGACCCAGCAATAGGGGTGGTAGCCTCCTCTGCTTTTCTCAGACAGAGTTCTAGGGTTGAGGTGAGATGTGGATGTGACAGAAACAAGACCAGCTCTAGAAGTGCCCAGGTGCAAGTAGGAGTGGGGCAGGAGCCTGCTGCCTCTCACACCCTGGTCTGAAGTACAGATCCAGGTGGACCTGGCCTCCCCACCCATAGGAAGAGCCCAGGCCTTTTCTCATCAGCTGTTCACTTGTTCTTTGTTTTCCAGAACTTTTATTGTTAGGGCCTAAAAACAGCTCTGTTGCATCCTCTAATACTGTTTTTTTTTCTTTTTCCGTTTTAAAATAATGAATCACTTCCAAAATACAGAACAGTACAGACTGTATCATTCACCCGTGAACTCACACCTGGATTTAACATTATTAACATTTTTCTGTATTTGCTTCAGATCTTTGTATTGTGTTTCTTTTTAAATTGTGAATAACCATTGAGTTTTACTAAATGCTGTTCTGCATCTGGGATCATCATGTTTCCCATTTAATCTGTCATTATGGACACCACATCTGCAGGCTTTCTCATTTTGAACCATTCTTGAGTTCCTGGGATTAAAACCTCCATGACTATTGATCTGTAGCACAGTAAGCTATAATATGTGGATAAATATTTTTTAATTGACAAATAAAATCATATGTGTTTGTCATGTACAACCTGATGTTTTGAAGTACAGTGTATATACACATGGAATGACTAAATCTAGATAATTAACATATGCATTCCCTCACACAGTTACCATTTTTGTGGCGAGAACATTTCACATCCATTCTTCTAGCATTTTTCAAGAATACAATATATTTTATTAACTCTACTCCCCATGTTGTACAGTAGATCTCTTGAGCTATTTCTCCCCTCTAACTGAAATTCATACCCTTTGACCAACATCTCTAAGCCTCTACCCTGCTCCCGAGGCCCCAGCCCCTGGTAACCATCATTCTGTTCCCTACGTAAGATCAGCCTTTCCATATTCCACGCATGAGTGAGATCGTGCAGTATTTGCCTTTTCTGTGCCTGGCTTATTTCAGCTATCATAATGGCTTCCGGGTTCATCTGTCTTACTGAAAATGGCAGGATTTTCATAGATTTCCACTATTTATCTGTACCATATTTATACATTCATCTATTGACAGACACTCCAGTTGATTCCATGTCTTGGCTATTGTGAATAGTGCTGCAATGAACATGGGTTCAGATGTCTCTTCTATATACTGATTTCATTCCCTTTGGATTTATAGCCAGTAGTGGGATTGCTAGATCATAGGGTGGTTCTATTCATAATTTTTTAAGGTGCTGCCATGCTGTTTTCCATAATGGCTATACAATTCACATTCCTACCAACAGTATGTCCTGGTGACCAACACTTGCTACCATTTTTTTTTTATATATAACAGCCATTTTAACAGGTGTGAGATGATAGATGTCCCAATATCTCCTGGCTTTAGTTTGCATTTCCCTGATGTTGACTGATGATGTTTTAGTTAGGGTTTTCCCATCTGAATTAATTGGTGAAATTGGTCTACAAATTTTTTTTTTTTGCACTGTTCTTATCTGATTTTCATAACAAGGGTCACAGAAACCAAATGGGAGCTCCTTTTCTGTCCCTCCGTTCCCTGAAGCAGTTTGTATGAAGTAAACACCTGGACTTCAAGTTTTGCTGTAAGAACTCCTGGGGGCCCATCAGGGAGGGAGACCTTAGTTTGCTGATTTCATTTCTTTAGTGATTATTCGTTTACTTAGTTTTCTATTTTTTCTTCCTTAATTCTGGTAATTTTTACTTGGCTAGAAAATTATCTATTATGTATGTTCCAGAGTTATTGAAATAAAATTGTTATATTCTCTTATGACTTTTTTTCATCTCTTAATCTCTTTACAGTTACACCCTCCTATTTAACTCCTATTGTGTTTGTATCTTCTTCTTTCCTCACTTTTGATTTATCTTTCCAAGGATTTGACTGTTATTAGCTATTTTAAAGAACCAGTTTTATTGTTTTTGTTTACTTTTTCTTTCATTTCTATTCCATCAATCTCTTTGTTTTCTTATTATATAATTTCTACTGTGATTTCTTTTTTGAGTCATAAGAGTTTAATTTCTAACTATTTTCTGCTGTTTTTACTTTTAGCTTTGTTACATTATAAGAAAATGTGATTTGTCAGATTTCAGGGTTTTGCAGTTTTTAAGAATCTTTTGTTGGCTAGTTTATAGTCAAGTTTGCAAATATTCTTTGTGTATTTAAAAGAATAGTTTATTTTTTCCATAGAGTTCAGTCTATGAGATCAAGTTTATTGTTTATTTAACTCTATTACATGCTTTTTCAGTATAAACTCTCTGATTCTGAGAAAAATAAGTTAACATTTCCTACTATTATTGTGGATTTGTATTTTTCTTTTAAAAAATTATCAGTTTGGCTTTATTTTCTTTGATGTTTTACAGTCATGTGTACCTGTTCACAGATCTCCTTTAAAAAAAGTAATGTCCCTCTTTATCCTAATAATTCCTATTGCCCTAAAATCTTTTTTTCCCCCTGATATTAATACTCTGTCACTTTTTAACTGGTTCTCTATTTGTTGGTAAAAAAAATTTTATGCCTCTACTTTCAACCTTTTTGTGTCCTTTTTTTAATTATTATTATTTTTTTTTTTGTAGTGACAGAGTCTCACTTTATCACTCTGGGTAGAGTACTGTGGCATCACAGCTCACAGCAACCTCCAACTCCTTGGCTTAAGTGATTCTATTGCCTCAGCCTCCCGAGTAGCTGGGACTACAGGCACCCGCCACAACACCCGGCTATTTTTTTGTTGCGGTTTGGCTGGGGCGGGATTTGAACCCACCACCCTTGGTAGATGGGGCTGGTGCCCTACTCACCGAGCCACAGGCACTGCCCTCCTTTTTATAATTTTTTGAAACAGTTGTTTAGCCTTCTTGTTCATCTTTGTTAATGGTCAAGTTTAACACATTGTGGTTTACTGCAGTTTCTGATATATTTAGATGTATTTTATTATCTGTTTTGTGCTTTCTGTTTATTTTTTAAAAATACTTTCCTATCTAATTGGATTTTTTAAATTCTCCCTTCTCTCTTGGTTGCATAGTTATTCTTAAAATATTAATGTGTCTATCTTTTTGTTGAATGCTAGATCTTAAAATGCTTTGACTCCCATGCCACTTCTTGGCTTTCATTTTGTTACTTATATTATTCTAGCTTCACCTTGTTTTCAGCCCTGTTGTTTCCCACATCGTTGTATTTGCCTTTACAATGTGTTCATTTGTGCTTATTATGCTTACCAGTGGTTTGGGTTTTTTTCTTATTATTTCTTGCAGCCACTCCTTTAGGATTATTTCTCTTGCTACTGTTATGCATCCTTGAATAGCTCCTCTTACGAGGCTCTGTTGTAGCCAACCATTTGGACTTGGGGTCTGAAAATGTCATGATTATGCCCCTATGGTTAAGGAAAAAAGTAGCTCTTTTCTTTCAACCCTGGAAGATATTGTTCCATTATTTTTTAGCATCTATTCTGATGAGAAGTCTTGGGTATGTCTACTTTTTATTCTGTTGTTATTAATTTCTTTTTCTGTTTCCTTTAAAGATTTTTCTCTTGATCTTTAATGTTATGCATTTTTACCACATTATTTGACTTGCTGTTATTTA